ACGCTAAACCAGGATCACCTCAATGTATTATTTCCTTGATTCCAAGGTGCCACTGATTTGCCAACCATCAAGACCTATACGTGCACTCACACGCGCACACAAAGAGAGCCAAGAGTAATAAGCACAATTATATTCCCAGCATGTGGAAGGCTGAGACGGGACGATAAAGAATTGGAGGCTAGGAAGTTAAAGGAGACCCTGTGTCAAAAACAAACATACTTGAAAACTGTAAAAGGTGTATCCCAAAAGGACTGACTTCTAAGACTAGCAGCAGGAAAAAGCAATGAAAAGTATCTCAAAGTAGATTTGAAACTCACCCGACATTTGTATTATGTATTTTTCTGATACAGTAAGTAGGAAAATTTGAAATCTATTTTAACTCCATAGCTACTAATACTGAGGAAGGTACCCAGGAAAAAAATTATAACCAATCTTGAGATGCCTGTCAGAATCTACATACACAGAATACCTTCACTTGCATCTAGCTGGCAAAACTGTCAGAAGTTCATACAGCAGATAAGGAACTGAGGCATGAGGTGAACGTGACTTGCTCAAAGCCCAACACCTTGTTAACAGTGAAGCTCAAACTCAAATTGTAATGCATTAAACAAGTTAGGCTCTAGGCCGCACTTTGAAGATCACTCCAGAGTCTGGGTACCACTGCTAGGGACAAAAGATGCTATCTGCATTCACAAATGCACAAAATAAAGCAATGGAGAACCAGACAGAGGCAGTGTGGACCATTGGGACAGGCACAGCCTTCCGCAGCTCTGGCCCCACACCTGAAGGGAGGGGCCACTAACAAATCCCAAATGTGTTTCCTACTGCTAAGCCTCAAACACAAACAAGCAAAGAACCCCAGAGAGGAAGCGAGGACAGCACCGCACCGTGTGCCTGGGACAGAGTCAAGGCTCTGAAAAGGGGCTGAAGCTGAGAAACACAAGGAGCCTGGGTCACAGACAAGTAGCCACCAGCAAAGTGACAAGGTGGTAGAACTTTCTGTCAGCAAGGCAAGAGCCAACCTTCCACACGGCCTTAAGTTGAGAAAACGTAACTTCATTTGCTGGAAACGCTGTGCTACAGCTCACTCACATACACAGCTCCACCAACCAACCCCTAAGTGCCGGGTTCCAGGCTGTTCCCAACGCCAGCAGGGACTAACTGGGACGACAACTCAGCTACCACAGCCCCAAAAGCCAGCTGAAGCAACTCCAACTGGGAGTACAGTGGGCCTGGCTTCTCAGTCAGAGCTCGACATGAAAGCAAAAACTTAGCTTCAGCATCAGCTCGCTCTTCCTAGAATGAAGGTCACGTCATCTATGGCACTCGGGTCCCATGAGCTCTTACAGGAGTTACATTTGGTATCCACTTTCTGTAGCTCCAACCTGAGCCAAAGACCACCTGGTCGCAATAACAAGTGTGGCCCACTAAGGACTTAAGTGTAATCCAAGCCACACACTATATCACACATCACACATCGCTACTTTTAATATCAGCTCCAGCTTTCCACCCATGCCTGGAGCTTCTTAAGAGAAAATAGAGGCCGGGCGTTGGTGGCGCACACCTTTAATCCCAGCACTGGGGAGGCAGAGGCAGGTGGATCTCTGTGAGTTCGAGGCCAGCCTGGTCTCCAGAGCGAGTGCTCCAAAGCTACACAGAGAAACCCTGTCTCGAAAAACCAAAAAAAAAAAAAAAAGAGAGAGAGAAAAAATAAAAATAAAAATGCTATGAGCCTCAAGTTTCCTGGCCAATCAACAAGAAATTATTCTGCCCTCAGAAGTCTATTACAAATGACTCACTTTAAGAAAATAGACCCGGGCAGTAACCTCACCCAGCAGCGGGGAGACAAAGGCAGGTGGATCTCTGGGAGTCTCAGGTGACTCTGGTCTACAAGAGTTCAAGGACAGCCAGGATAACACAGAGAGAGCCTGTCTCCAAAGGAAAATAGCTTGTTATGAACAAATTGCCTTTGCCTTGACACAGGGTCGGCCCTGAGTTTAATTACAACTGTAATTAATATGCAGCACCATTACTAATCTCCAAAACCTTTCGACCATACAGTGGTAGCATTCAGGTGACAGAAGGTACTAGGAGCATCACAGCCACCAACAGCAATGCAGGCAGGCATCTGAACTCGGGTACAACCAAAGTCCTAAGCAGTGCACTACTCAAAGGAAAACACACCAAGGGCAGCCAGAAAAATGACTTTTCCCACATGGCGCTGTTTTCAAAGAATTACACAGGACAGCTGCGCCCCAATCCTCAAGAAACTGTAAGGCCCTCTTCTGTCTCAAACCAAAACAGAAAGAGGTGGTTACGGTAAGGTGTCCTCACAATGCCTACGCTCAGCAGCAGCGACGCGGTCTTGCCTTGCCTTCTGATCCAGAAAATTCACTGTACAGAATCCTACCCGGGAGTGAATACCTGCCTCCACCATCAGATTCGCCAGGTGGACCAGATCCACCAAATCTGTCTACTCTATATAATACCCCAACAGTGCAGCACAGAATCCTACCCGGGAGTGAATACCTGCCTCCACCATCAGATACGCCAGGTGGACCAGATCCACCAAATCTGTCTACTCTATATAATACCCCAACAGTGCAGCACAGAATCCTACCCGGGAGTGAGTGCCTGCCTCCACCACCAACGCCAGGGGGGCCAGATCCACCAAATCTGTCTACTCTATATAATACCCCAACAGTGCAGCACAGAATCCTACCCGGGAGCGAGTGCCTGTCTCCACCATCAGATTCGCCAGGTGGACCAGATCCACCAAATCTGTCTACTCTATATAATACCCCAACAGTGCAGCACAGAATCCTACCCGGGAGTGAGTGCCTGCCTCCACCATCAGATACGCCAGGTGGACCAGATCCACCAAATCTGTCTACTCTATATAATACCCCAACAGTGCAGCACAGAATCCTACCCGGGAGTGAGTGCCTGCCTCCACCATCAGATTCGCCAGGTGGACCAGATCCACCAAATCTGCCCATTTTTATGCTACATAAAAATTGAGATGAGGGGGGGGGGTCTAAGTGCCCGAGTTTGGAGTGATAACGGGCCCTGGGGTTTGCCTAAACTCGGATGTACTGAAGACACCCACAGAAACCACCAGCCACCAAAGCAAACAACCAACACAAACACA